ATTATATCACATTTTTTATGTCATATTTTATATTTTATAATTATTAAAGAATATATTTATGCATTAATTGTTTTATATAACCTATTAGTGTTTTGATTAATAAAAGTGTTACTTCACTCTGTACTTTGTATTTTGTAGTAAAATTAAGTCTTGTGTATCGTTATGCACTTTGCGCTTTGATAACATTGACTCCAAGTAACAACCAAATTTTGGTTTATTCATAATTAAACTGTTTAAATCAAATTAAATTTCTATTTGGTCTGTTTGATTGTATCAATTTTTCTGATTTTGAATTTCGACTGAAATCAGTTTTGACCAATTCAAAAACTGATCCATCGAAACCCCATATGCTCACCCTTAGTTATGTGTTAGTTGGTGGGGACCTTAGGAATTTAATTTCCTTAATGTGGCATGATGAACCAACCAAAATGATAGTTGCAAGCAACATGCCCAATGCATCAATCTTCTGCTAATTCGAGATCAAGGGAAGGTTATTGTGCACAATGTTAACACCGTTTTCTGTAGATGCTGTTTCAATGGCTCAAACTTATGCCCTCCATAGTGGAGACAATCAAACAATGCCTGGGGGCACTCAAACTTGCATTTTTAGATATGAAAAAACCCTAGCTCCATTTTTTTCTTTTGTTTGTTTCACTATTCTTTTTCTTGCCAAATTCCACATTTTTTATTCTTGAAACAGGATGAAATAATTTTTTTTTTATGAAGGGTTTTTATATTGACGGAATAAGATTATGAATTTTCTTTTCTTCTGGCAGTAGTCGTTGGGCTTGTGAAAATATACTTTTGCATCACTTCTCCTGTTTAAGCTTCTAGTTTTTTAACTATGTAGCCTAAATTGTGTTATTTAATCTCCTTTGCAGGAGCATCTGGCAAGAGATGATTTATCTTTTATTTTCTGCCTTAAGGTAAGTTATTTCTTAGCTTTGATCTTTGTTATGTGTTCTTATGTAAGCACCTGAATTTTATCTTTCAATCAACATTTCAATCCCGACAATTACTTCATTTTGGGACGGAATTTTTAAAATGAAGCCTTTATGAATTTTTTGGGATCAGATATTAACATCATTACATAAATTATTTTAATTATCATAACCAGTACATAATTGAGCTGGACATGCTCCCAAATAATGTATCTAGCATGAATTCACGCTACTTGGTCTGTTTTTTAGTACATTAAATTTATTTGCAAGGTTCATCTCTTTTAGGGGAATTTACATGTATACCCCCCAATTCTTATGTATTTACTTATCTAAAACCTAAACTACACTTTTTTACATTTATACCGCACAAATCTTTCGTATCACATAAAAAATACTAACATTTTAACTTTTAATTAGTGAAATACACCCTTTCACGCATATGTTAGGTGGTGCATGTAAAAAATGAACTGTAGGCATTAGATATGGAAGTGAATAAGAATTTAGGGGTATGTATGTAAATATTTTTTTTTAATTTTTTTATTTTTCACTGTTGCTTCCAATGACTAGATGCTGTTGGGAAAGTTGGAATTTTCTATATCAGGCATTTCTGTTGGTCTTTAGTTCCATAATCTTTGAAAGCTTACTCCGGTCCGAAAATTTGCAGATCATTTGCACCTTTTTGAACATAGATTATTGATTGTTGTTTTAGATTCATAAACTCTTCTTGTTACATTAAGCATCATCTTCATTTTTAAATTTTCATTTGTTTTGGTTACGCTTAATTTAAAATGTGCGCTTCCTGTGCCTTCTCAACCGTGCAAAAGGTTGTGCAAGTTCCACCAGACATACATCACTTTTTTGTTTATCAGGTAAAATTTTATAATTATTATTTGTTGTGATATGGATGCTAACTTAACAAACCAAAAGAACTCCTATTAGGCCATATCATATCAAAATTTTTATCAAACATACATATGTAGTAAAAATTACGTATAAAAAAAATGATATTATAGGCACTTTCACAGGTAAATTAATGAAATTACTTGATATTATGATTCATAGAAAGATAAATATTTTATGTATTCAAAAACTAAATTGGTTGAAGAAAAGGTTAAAGAGATTGATAACTTAGGTTTTAAGCTTTAGTATTCAGGCAAGAGTCACACTGGAAATGGTGTAAGTGTAAATATGGACGAGAGTTTGAAAGATAATGTTGTAAAAATTACTAGAATTGGAGATAAAGTTATAACCCTTAATATTATTATTGATTCTAAAATTCTTAATATTATTGTTGATTTTAAATAGAACGCAATGCAGAAAAAAAAGATTCATGTTGCTGCCCCACGTAGTGGGATTAAGGCTTTGTTGTTGTTGTTGTTGTTGTTGTATGAGTGCTTATGCTCCTCAAGTAGGTTTATATATAAGCTCTGAAGAAAAAATTATAGAATGACCTAGAATACTTAATACAAATTATACTTCTTGAAGAAAAAAATTTTATTGGAGGAGATTTAAATGGACATGTCGGTAGAGTTGTAGAAGATTTTAGAAATATTTATAGTGGTTATGGTTTTGGAGTGACTAATGAAGAAGGTATTGCCATATTAGATTTTGCTTTAATTATGATTTTGTTATTACTATTTCTTTATTCAAGGAAAGAGATGAACATATTATTATTTATAAGACTAGATCCAATAAAACACAATATGATCATTTTTTATGAGAAGAAGTGATCGTCGAGAATGTAAAGATTTTAAGGTCATTCCAAGTGAAGATTTAAGTACTCAAAATTGGTTATTAGTTCTAGATTTTAAGATGAAGAGTTGTAAAATAAAGAATATTAGGAATTATTGTTTTAGAATTAGATGAAGGATTCTAAAAGACAAATAAAATTATTTTTACGAGTAAAATTCAAGATTTCAAGATTTGAGATGTTCATGAGAAGCAAATTCTATATGTGATAAAATAATAAACACTATTAAACAAGTGACAAAAAATATACTTGGAGAATCGAAAGAAAAATTTCTATAAATAAAAATAGTTGGTGGTGGGATAACAATGTGCAAGAAAAGATAAAATATTATAAAATTTGTTTAGATGTAAATGCTTAGAGAACTGGAAAAAATATAAAATGACCTATAAGGAGTCTAAAAAAAGAATATGTGATTCTAAAAATTCTGTTTTTTGTGATATTTATAATAAGTTAGAAACTAAAGAAGGTGAAAAATATATGTATAAACTAGTCAAATGAAGAGAAAAGAAAAGAAAATGTTTAACTCAAGTAAAGTTTATTAAAGATGAAAATAAAAAAAGTAATTTTCTTAGAAAAAAGATATTCAACATAGGTGAGTGAGTTATTTTGATAAACTTTTTAATGAAGTTTTTGAAAATACAATCGACCTGAGTGATCTTCATATCATTAATAATAATAAAATGTTTCATTTTAAACTGTTACATTAGTTAAAAAAAAGTTGATGAGACTTTAAAGAAAATCAAGGGTGGAAAGTCTGTAGGACCTGATGGTATCCCAATTGAAGTGTGGAATTATATAGGAGATTTGAGAATTTCATGGCTTACTGACTCTTTAATATTATTTTAAAAAATAAAATGATGTCTCAGGAGTGGAGGAAGAGTATTTTGGTCCTATTTTGGTCCATTTTGGTCCCTATTTTTAAGAATAAAGGGAATGCACAAGAGTGTGCAAATTATAGAGGAATTAAGTTGATGTGTCATACGTTAAAATTATAGGAGAGAGTAATTGAACATAGGTTAATACATATTACAAAGATTTCTCATAATCAATTTGAATTTATGTCAGGCAGGTCTTCTATGATAGCTATACATTTATTGAGAGGTTTGATGGATAAGTTCACAGAGAATAAGAAGGATCTACATATGATTTTTATTGATTTAGAAAAAACTTATGATAAGGTTCATAGAGATATCCTTTAGAGAGTTCTAGAGAAGAAAGGTGTTGCTATGAATTATATTCAGGTCATTAAAGATATGTATACTAGAGCTGTAACTTGTATTCAAACAGAAGGAGAATTGATCAAATATTTTCTTATTTCGATTGGATTACATTAGGGATCGAGTTTAAGCCCATATCTTTTTGCCTTAGTTATGGATGCTCTTACTGGATATTTACAGAAGGATGTAACTTGGTGTATGTTTTTTGTTGATGATATCATTTTTGTGGATAAGACTAGAGAAAAAACTCAGGAAAAACTTGAATTATGGAGGTCTAAATTGGAGTCTAAGTCCTTCGTTTGTGTAGAACTAAAACTGAATATATGAAATGTAATTTTAGTAGTAGTAGCTTTAGTGACAGAGTTGTAACTATGGGTGATCAAATTATCAAAAGGTGTGAACGCTTTAGATATCTCGGGTCTATTGTTCAAAGTGATGGTGATATAGATGAAGATGTTTTTAGTAGAATTCAAATTGGTTGTTTGAAGTGGAGGAATGCTTCGGGCCTATTGTGTGATTGAAAATTATTGTTTAGACTAGAAGGAAAATTTTATAAGAAAGTGGTGAGACATGCATTGCTCTATGGTGCTGAATGTTGGCCTTTAAAAGAGAAGCCTAAAACTAAGTTAAGTGTTGTCGAGATTAGAATGCTGAGGTGGATGAGTGGCTTTGGATGAGTGGCTTTACACTTAGTGGCTTTACACTTAGAGACAAATTGCGTACTGAATATATCCGTGATAGGGCTGGTGTTGCTCCAGTGGCAGACAAAATTAAAGAGAGTCGTTTTAGATGGTTTGATTAAATTAAACACCGACCATTTGATGATCCGATTAGGATAATAGAGGTTTTAGATTCGACTTATGTTAAGAAAGGCAACGGTAGACCGAGAAAGACTTGTGCATATTACATAAAAATGATCTTAATTTATTAAAATTAAATGAAAATAAACCACTCAATAGGACACAATGGAGAAAAATGATTCATGTAGCCGACCCCATTTAGTGGGATAAATGTTTGTTGTTGTTGTATCTTACTTCCTTTTAATATAATTTTTCCTTTTTTCTAGCTTGTGTATGCGATGTGAATTTCTGGTTCAAGAGCTTTTCTTGCTTAGTAAATGATTATTTATTAGTTTTAAGATTGATGCTTGCAGTTCTTATGCTTCTATGGCTGTAGTATCGTTCTTATGTCTTTTAAAGCATGAGTGGCTCTCCTAGTATCATTTTCCTCAGGTTGTAAGCTACTAAGTAATTCACATATTTATTTTTTACTGCTCCTTGGACTAAGGGTATGGTTTGCAATGTTTTTTTATTATCTCATCATTCTATTATCTAATTAGATTTTTGATCTGCCTAACTGTGTCTGTTAACTGCCTTTTTTTTATTATTGCAGATTAAATCATGCATTTTGTTTATTTTTGAAGTTTATGTTTGTAGATAAATATCTGTTACCAGAATTTTGATTGTTGATGCTTCCATCACAGATTTTAACATCCATCACTTGATCATTAAGAAGTGTTTGGATTTGTTAGAAGTTTCTGTGGTAATCAGATTATGATTATTTATGACATCTGTACTAAAAATTTCTCATGTTTAACCAGGTTTCGGATAATTCAACATTGTATGGTGTATGCTTACATGTTCAGGAGATTGTTCAGAGGGCACCAGGTATTTTAGGCGCTGTTTCACCAGTTGCCACTTCTTGCAAGCCAACCCGTTTTTTGGTAGCTGCACCACGTTGTTATTGCTTGCTTACACGAGTTCCATTTTTTGAACTGCATTATGAGATGTTAAACAGGTTTGCTTCTTTGCTTATTTTATCATTAAACATTTCTTTTTTTGTCCCTGCCCACACAAAAATCATAAATGGTTCTAAAACTAGAAAATACAGAAAAGTACATTAGTGACTTGAAGACAAAGCCTAACAGTTTTGAAATACATAGTATCAGGTGGCGAGAGAGCGACCAAATTTGGTCTTGCCTCTGCCTCTAGTTCTAGGAAAGGAGCAAACTAATAAACTAGTAAGATGATTACCATTGGCAGTAGTAACTAATGTATCATTCAATATATTTTCGATTTGGAGTGGACCTCCATTTTTCTTCTTCCTCCTAGTATAGACCTAAGACCTTTCATTCCTCTTCTGAAGATTGGCTCTCTTGATCTTGGTCTAAGTTGTGCTGCTGATTTGTAGGTTGTTGAACATTAGAAGCAAATACATGTTGTATCGACTGATCTGTTATTAGATCAAAGGAACACTCTCATGTGTCTTGGCATGTAAGTGACCCTTCTTCAATAACGATGTGTGGTATAAGCACAACTGGATATGTAGATGTAGCATGGTGTTATTCATCAGGAATTGCAGTGTTGGAAAGTGGATCATGTTGCATCTTCTCAACAGGGATGGTAGGTGGCTGATCTTTAACGATATTCGACCTTAGATGAGTATGCAAGCGATAACAAATAGTAGAGCTGTGGCCAAACATACTGCAATGAGAGCGATAAAAAGGGTGTAGTTTTATTTCAATTTTTTGCCAATAGCCGTTGTGAGTGGTTTCAATCCATATCTCATCCGGAGGTGGTTGAGTGATATCCCTCTCAACTAACACTTAAGCCACTGAGGGTCTGGTGACAGCAAGCGTAGGACTATCAACCTTGAGAGACTTATCGTAAGCAGTTGCTAAGAAGTAGAGAATTTCTAAGTTGAACAGATGTAATTTTAACCCCAGAAACTTTATCCAAACTGGAATGATAGGGGACTCCGCTTTTGGATAAAAACCAACAGTTCATTTCAGAATTTTCATATAATGATTGTCGATTTTGATAACTTTTCGAGAAAAAATCCAAACTGGAATGATAGGGGACTCCGCTTTTGGATAAAAACCAACAGTTCATTTCAGAATTTTCATATAATGATTGTCGATTTTGATAACTTTTTGAGAAAAAATGCGTGTAATCGACATCGTGAGATAAATGAATCAGTATGTGTCGACCGTCAAGTAAACCAATATTCCAACTGCCCAACAACTTCATAGCCTCAAAATCTTTTCAGATGATCTCAAGTTTTGGGTGACCATAAAGAAAAATTTCCACTAGAGCAAAATATCGAGTAGATGCGAGAGTACTGGTTCTAACCTCTGTGAGAATAAGAGCTGGCTTCCCATTTTTTCTCCCAGATTTTAATAAATGTATGATCTCCACCACCTTCAAGAGCTTCGTGGAATGATTGTGAAACATTGCAAGCTTTACCTATATGAAAATCAGTCTCCGAATCTGAAAGAGGAGCACGAGTAGGAATAGAGAGGCCGCCGTCAACTGCAATGGCATAGGAACAGATAGTGGATGCCATCTCCTCTGATAAGATGGCCTGTCGAGCAGGAGACAAGATGGTCTGTCGGGTACCAAACGGTCAGCTCAAGCAGAACGACGCCCTTTCCTGCAAAGCCGACAAATTGCAGAAGAGAACGATAACCCCTGCAAAAACAACTCGAGTAGACGACGTGAGCTGTGGAGCAGACGAAGCGAGTGAGCAGACAACGCCAAGCTGAAGTCGGGCGCCCTCAGCAGCAAAGCAGAAGACGAGAGAAGCTGACGACGAAGGTGAAGAAGAGGAAATTAGAGCACCGACGTGAGGAATATCGATTGGAGCGCCGACGTGAGGAATATCGAAGCAGCAGACGCTAGGGTTCACCATGAGGCGAAACCTTAGCAAAGCGGAGAAGTGTGTCATCGTCTCCGCTCACACCCTTCTCCGCTTTGCTAAGGTTTCGCCTCATGGTGAACCCTAGCGTCTGCTGCTTCGATATTCCTCACGTCGGTGCTCTAATTTCCTCTTCTTTCATATGAGCAAAACTTCAAAAATTGTTCTCTGACTATTTATATTGAGTCATTTTAGTTTTAAATTCTATAAAAATGTAAAATTAGTCCCCAGAGTTTTTTTATGAGGACTAAAATAGTCTTTATAAATTATTTTAACCCATATTAAAAGATTCAGTGTCTAAAATTGACACTTTTTATAGACTCGTAGAAGAAGGGGAGTACGACCCTCTGTTCCGACGTTTGTTTTGTTGAGCATGTAGGGCTGATCGTGCTTCTGTAGGATCGATCGTTCTGTTGTAGGGCCGATCGAGCTACGGTGTGCTGCTCGCATTTCTGTTGTTTTGACCAGTCCTGCGCCTTCCGCAGGTTCGACTACCGTACGCTTCTGGTCGCTCTTCGGATCGTAACATCTGGTTTCTCTGGCTTTTCCATCGGCGGGCTGAAGGATCGTCGTTATGGCGCTTCGTCGGTTGATTCTAGCAAAGCTTCTTTCGCCCATGTGGTGGGTAATCATTTTGCGAAATCTATTATTATCTTCCTCTCAAGCTACAAAGAATGTCGTGATAGTACGAGTAATTGCCCTTTTCTTAAGAAGATAAGTGGGAAAAATGAGAAAACGACACTAACTGAGAAATTCAAGTTCGCACTTATTGGGAAATTTCAGTGGGGGCATCCACGTGGGGGCATACACCTATGGAAGGTATCAGAAAAAGTGTTGACAATCTCCAACTTGAAGGCAATTAGAAAGTGAGACTTTTGGATGAGAGACATGTGTTGATTCAGTTAACCCTAGCTGAAGACTATGCTCTAATTTTCTCTAAAAAATAGCTCAACATTGCAGACAAGTCAATGAAGTTACTTAAGTGATCTCCTGATTTTAACCCAAATCATGAGTCTCCCACTCTTCCGGTATGAATTAGTTTACCTGGTCTCAAATTGCATTTCTTTAATCATCAGGTTCGTTATTTTATTGAAGTCATTCTTGGAGATCCTATGAAGCTAGATATGCCCACCTTTAACCTAACCGGGTCTTCTGTGGCCAGAATACTTGTGGAAAGAGATATTACCTTACTTGATATTACTGAAGTCTGGCTAGACAGAACTCACAATGGATATTGACAACCAATTGTCATGGAACATAAACCTTTTTATTGTACCCACTATAAGATGTTTGAGCATACAGTTGATAAATGTCACATGCTTAATCAAAACTTTAAAGATAAAGCTCAAGCAAACAAAGAGGGGTCTAACCCCCATTGCTATGGGCACATCTGTTCAATATGTGGAGGAATTTCTCATAAGACAGGATTTGCCGATGGATCCATCATTGCCAACACCGTAGTTCCTGATGAAGAACATCATACTACAGGTACAAATCCAAATGTGTTTGTATCACTCACTGTTATTGAAGAAGACCCACTTATTTGCCAGGACACACGAGAATGCTTCCGTTCCCCTGATCCGATAAAAGATCAGCTTTTACAATAAGTTGTTGCTTCTAATGTTCAAGAACCTATACATGTCCGACATACTTTAGACCAATCCATTGACTAGGCAAGCCAATCTTCGGATGAAGAATGACAAGTTTATTCCAAGAGGAAGAAGAAGAATGGGGGTAGACTTGAGCTCGAGAATTTATTGTATGATACATTGTTTACTACTGACAATGACACTCAACTCACCAATTTATTTGCTGACTTCTTCCCTAGAACTAGAGGCAGAGGCAAGACAAAATTAGATCGTTTTTTAGTTATATGATAATCCGGATTTTGACACTTTTGTTTTTTTTAGGTCTCATGTATTTTTTTGTATTTTCTCTTTTTGGAACCATTTGCATATGGTGGTTATTGTGTGGGCAGGGTGCCATATTAGGGCCCTCCTACACAATCTATTTGCATCCTACTTTCTTTTTAATATATTAGCCATTGGGCTTTCTTATAGATATACATATCTATATAAAGAAAGAGAGAGAGGGAGAAATCTATTTTTCTGTTCTAACAAAGATTTGACGCAACAACAACAACAACAACAACAAGCCTTTATCCCACTAATTGGGGTATGCTCATGAATCTTTTTTCTCCATTGCGTCCTATTGAGTGTCATATTTTCATTTAATTCTAATAGATTAAGATCATTTTTATACAACATGCTTAAGTCTTTTTAAGCCTACCTCTACCTTTGTTAACATAAGTCGAATCTAAAATATCTACTATTCTAACAGGATCATCACATGGTCGACGTTTAATGTGACCAAACTATCTAAGACGACTCTCTCTAATCTTGTCCGCCACTGGAACTACACTAACACTTTCACTGATATATTCATTTCACATCTTGTTTCACTCTTCCACCAAAGCATTTTCATCTCATCAAGTCTTAACATTGTTTTATGCTTCTCTTCTAAAGGCTCATATTTTGCGCCATAGAGCATTTCAGATCTCACCGCCTTCTCATAAAATTTTCATTTTAGTCGGGTACATTTCTATCACATAATAGGCTCAGTGCATTCCTCCATTTCGAATAACTAACTTGAATTCTACTAGTAACATCCCCATCTATCTCAACATCACATTGAATAGCAGAACCGAGACCTCTAAAACGTTCACACCTTTTAATGATTTGATCACCCATATTTATAACTCTGCTACTAGAGCTTTTACTACTAAAATTGCATTCCAAGCATTCAATTTAAGATCTAGACTTCAATGTTGACCTCACTAATTCAAGTTTTTCCTGCACTCTTTCTCTAGTCTTATCCACAAGAAGGATATCATCAACAAAAAACATATACCAAGGTATATCCTCATGTAAATGTTCGGTATGAGCATCCATAACTATAAAACAAAACTATATGAGCTTAAAGTCGATTCCTGATGTAATCCAACTGAAATAGGAAAATACTTGGTCAGTCCTCTTTCTGTTCAAACACAAGTAATAACTTTATTATACATATCCTTAACGACTTGAATATAAGTCATATCA